CCACCACCACCACCAACACCTTGGCCACCAACAACACCACTACCACTACCACCACCAACAACACCAACAAGCAGCGACTCGAACCCTCACCATCAGCATCAGTGACGGTCACCCCGCCAGCACTGACAGTAGCCAGACGTCCGTCAGCCAGAACCATCCGGGCACTCTGTAGGCTGTCCGCGGCCAGACCCAGAGTACGGGACAGAGGGCCCAGACCACCGGTCATCGTGAAGGTATCCACGGTGTCCAGAGACTGGGAGCCACCCGCAATGGCGCGAGGGAAAGCAACGTTCTCCACCTGGAAGTGCAGAAGGCATGCAATAAAATTCCGTGGAATCCCCGTGGAAAATGTTGGTATAACCCCATAAAATATTTTGGTTTGACCACAAAAATCTTGGTTCAACCCCGTGGAAAATGTTGATTTAACCGTGAAAATCTTGGTTAATGCCCGGGAAAAATGTTCGTTCAGCCGTGAAGATCTTGGTTCAACTCCGTGAAAAAGTTTGGTCTAACCGTGAAAATCTTTGTCAAATCCGGTGAAAAATGTTTGTTTTACCGTGAAAATCTTGGTTCAACCTCGTGGAAAATTTTGGTGTTAGTGTGGAAAATTTTGGTTTAACCCATTTGGGAAATTTTGGTTTAAAATGGCACATGCATTTAAATTTAACATTTTAAAAAATCCTCACCTTGAAAAATACCCCTATCACACCTGTAAAATAGCAAGACACACCTTAACACCTGCCTTGATTCCAAACATATAGACCAAGTCTCTACGAAGTCAAGATCTACAGGGAGGGAAGTAGCGCTTGGCCAATCTACTTCCTTTATGTGTAGATCCTTTAGGAGGCGGGTTTCGCCCCTGCCTATGAGGGGCCACCCGGGCTAAGAGAGATGCAACGTCCCATCAAAAGAACCGAGGCATTCTATAAGAATTCTCCCTACACGGGAATCGCACCCAGGTTTCCTGCATGCGATGGTGAGGTACTTACCACTACACCACAGAGGTCGGTACAAATGGATTGGTGTACGCTCAAGACAGTGACTGAATAATAAGTGAACGAGCGAATAGATTCACCTGTAGTTCAAAGAATGGGTAGTTTGCGAACGAGAGCGAGAGTGAGAGAGAGAGAGAGAGAGAGAGAGAGAGAGAGAGAGAGAGAGAGAGAGAGAGAGAGAGAGAGAAAGGAGAGAGAGAGAGAGGGGGGGAGAGACATGTGGAAGGAAAAGAGAGACAGTCGAACAGGACACGTAAATAGACAGACAGACAGACAGACAGACAGACAGATAGACAGATAGACACGCAAACACACACACACATACAGACATACACACCGACATACACACACAGACACGCAGACAGACCTGATCATAAATCTCCCCCCAGGTACTGCCAGCAGAAGCGGTCACTGAGCCGCCCTGGTTGAAGTTGTTGAGGTCAGAGGTGGTGACAAACTTGAGGTCCGACAGATCCAGCCGAAGACTTCCATCGTAGAAACCCCTGTGGGAGGTCAGCGAAGAAAATGTGAGACAGTATGGTGAAATTATGTAGACGTCAAAATAATGAAATCGAAGAAACCTTTTTTTCCCGCTCGTATGGCAATTTGCATAGATTTTTAATTTTTTTTAGGCAGAACACTTTTTACGTTCATTTAAAAATACAGTTATGTGTGGACTTTACTGAGTAACGCTGATTAACGGCACAAAAAATGTAAATTTTCAGTTTTCAAGGACTCTAAAGCTATGACAGTAATCAAACTTTGGCGGCCATTTTTTCGCTAATTCTACCTCTGAAACCAGTCGACATCCCCCCTCCTCCCTAGCCCACCTCCCTCAATCGCAAATACCTCGACTTTTGTTCAAGATAGGTGGGTATTTTTTCCACAAAAAAAGCAAGACAAATGAACAATAGCTGAACATGCCATAAAATTGGCGAGCTCCTGATTCCACCGCGTTGTGACACAAAGTATTGTCAGCGTTGTTCTACAAGCACCTACTGTAGCTGTAACCTAAATCATTCTTTGAAATTTTGAGAGAATAAAAATTAAAAAGTGTTCTCACAAATGAAAACTCTGATTCTGACGCAAGTTATTTTCCGATTAAAACTAGAAAGGAAACAATAACAAAACAGAACGAAACCATCAACATTTTGTTATGTACTTTTTAATATAGGTGTTTTAACCCCACCCCCCCTCCCCTCCCCAAAAAAATAAAATAAAAAATAAAAAATCAATCAATCAAGCAAGCAGACAATCAATCAGTCCATCAATCAAATAAAATAAAACAAAATAAATTAACGACAAAATTTAGATGATTTATGAGGCGGGCATCCGATCCTGCCTGTCAGGGCCAATCCCGGCTGAGAAGGACATAACTAGGCCTACAAAGGAAATAAAGAGAGTGTATGAAACTATTCACAATATTTTATGTTGTCTCAGTCGTGTTGTCCTAATTCAAATAACGGCTTTCTCTGGAAACCCCCAGAAACTGACATGGGCGATTGTAGAAAGATGTTGGCAACTCCTCCTCCCCCC